ATAACATGAAATAAATGGCTTGAAATTGGAAATCTAACGCGATTTGAGATGCTAAGAAAGAACATCTCTCTTCTGATGCTTGATAGACTGGAAGGAAAAGGCAATTCTCGCTGCATGTGTGTGTGTGTGTGTGTGTGTCTGTGAGTGTGTGTGCATGGAAGGGTGTGTGTTTTAAGTGAATTTCAGGTATAATTTGCAGAATTATGCCACAGAAAAAACAGGAGGAAAGTATGATTACCACATCCGAGCCATTCATTCAAGCTTAGCATGTCACCACCTACATACTGTACTCCAAACATATAATCTCCCTCCTACACTGGCAGCGAAGAATGTAGAAACCTACAGATCATAGAGATCTGTTGTGACACCTAATACGAGTGGCGTTTAGCTGTTATCGCTGAGCATTCCTCAACCTCCTCTCCAGTTGAAACCACACTTAGCTTTCGCCTGTGAGAGGAATATTTGAAATTCTGGGGATGTACTCATGAAAGGGAATAGAAATGATGCCTAATGTATATGAATAGAAGCTGTGCCGTTCAGGTATTTCACGCCGCATGCCCTGACAGAGGCTAAAGTGAATAAGTCGTCATCTCGCATTGAAATTCATATTGTATCCCCGGCTGGAGCTGAGCCCATTTTCTCCACAGTGCTCTCACCATGAGCCATACAATAGCCAGGGAGACATCTAATGAGGCAGGAGAAAAAAATATTAAGAGGAAAATCCTTAAACTCAGGAGTTGGCATATTCAATGGCCAGTCTCTAAATTCAATGAGAAAATCTTTTGTTGGAGCTTCGGGCTGGTGGGAGGGAGAGAACAAAACTCAGGGAGAAGAAAAGATTGAGCGAGTGACTAAGATGGGCTGTGACAATGTCAGCTTTGCTCTGGTCACCCTGCACAGATGATGAGTGAATATGAGGGCAGCTAGAGGAAGAAAGGCAGGAGGGGAGAGTTGAAGCACAGAACAAGAGCAGGAGGTGGTTGCCAAGTGGTTGGAGAAGACAGTTTACGGCCCCGAAGGTTGCCGGTTCACGTCCTGATCTGGAAAATCTGTACAGGGCAACCTTTCTGCTACCATTTAAGTATCAGGTGCTCTGCAAGAACCTTCCCTCTTGACTCAATGAGTCAGCAGCATACTCCAGCTCATGTACAAAGCAGCTACCCAGATTTTGTCTTTGATCTACTGGCACTGCTGCGTCATGCAGTTTGACCTTTGGGTCCCCTCGAGAAACTTGCCCGACTCTCCATCTGGTTGTTTTTTTCAATTTTGGGCAGCGGAAAAACCACTTTGCAAAGTTGGTTAATGGTACAAGATTGTTTTTGCTATGAGAATTTTATGTACTTCAGTTAATGGCCTTCAATTTATTCCCTCTGTAAGTGCTATTGAAGCCTGAGAGTGTGCAGGTTTTCATTTCAACTACACATTAAAGCAGCTGATTTCACCGACGAGCTTGTGCCTTGTGCTAATCAGGGAGTAATCACCTGCAGTGTGTGGCTGAAATAAAAACTTGCAGATTCTTGGGCTTTGGTAGCACTTAGTTGAGAGCCTCTTCATAACCTTATTCCATTTCATCTTTTAACTTTGACCCCAGAATGGCCTCTTTTCAAAGTGAAGACAACTAAATATGCTCATTTTGTGGTGCGGCTGCATTTTCCACCCATGTGAGTTCTTAAGGCAATTTTACTGAGTAACTTTTCCACCCTTCTGACTTCCCCCCCTTTTCTAAACCACTCGTGTTTATTTGTTCACTGTGATGTGTACCATGCCCTTATTGATAATCCTGCCTCCAAACCAGGCTGCGCCGTGATCAAACCTGGTAAGACCTGACAATCACAACGGATGAAAGCGAAACATACACACAAACATACGTAAAATCTGCATCGGATTCTGTGATTTTAATCTCCACTTGACATTAACTCGTGCATTTTATCAAACAGCTGTTTGCAGGCAAAGATCAACTTCCTATGTCTGTGCATCGGTAATTAGTTCTAATTGCAAACCGATTTCACACACATGAAAACAATCTCAGCGCTGTTTGTTTGATGTCTACGAGCTTAATTTAAATTGTTTCAAATCAGCAGCAGCAGTATTCCTGATTTTGTTGCCTGGTGGATTTCTGCTCTGGTGTCACTATTTGTTTCTTATTATCAGCAGTAAAGGATGCAGCTCCCATCATGTCTGGCTACATACTGCCCCCTAGTGGAGAGGGCCTGTTTATTCAGACCTGACACTGCCGTTTGTTGTGGAAGTTTAATACAGTGACGTGAATGAAGCCAAGAAACTGTATGTGAGGAGCCAACTTAATAAAACCAAATGTTGCTTTTCAAGATTTTAAACCACACAAATTCCCCCAGAGTTAGTAAGTACTGAAGGTAGTTATAAAAACTATATAAAGTATCTGAAGTTAAACAGACATCGACTGCATACTTGCTTGTCTGCTAAACGAGGTAAGTCAGCAGTTCAAAATATTAAAGATCCCCTCCAGACATGCTGTAAGAAAAATAGAAATACTCTGCTTTGAATAATAATTTGTTGTTACGTATTTTTTTTCGACAAGAAAAAAAAATGCAATTACAACAATTCTTATAATCTACTCATTCTCCCTCATTAAATCCAGAATCTATGAATATGCTAATATCTTTCATTTCAAAAGTTTAACTGCTGGACACGAGACGTCTTAGCTAAAAAGTGGGTCTGCACTGGAAGTTTCGAGGCTCTTCACCACGCGAGTTGCATATTGAACAACGACTGGTGTCAGAAAATCATGCCCGTATGTACACGACTTAAACTGAGATTTAGGGTGAAGCACGGAGAAACCCCTCCCTCCCACCCTTCAGCCAATGAATGTGAAAACAACCTTCTAGTGTCAAACTCTGCACATACATCATTCTGCACAGTGAAGGTCAAACACCCGACTGAAGCAACAAGGAACACGTGTTCAGTGGTGGCTCAGCGTCTAATGAAATTTGAGGGTTGTGGAAAAAATGGTATGGTGCTCATTTTTTACACTACAAATACCAACATCAAACCTGCAAAAATTGACATAAATAGTAGTATTAACAGTTATTTCATTGGAAGAAATAATCAAGAAAGAAACCGTAGAAAAGTGTGGTATCTTGGGAGAGCTCCCGCTATTCCCATAAATATGCAGACGCACACACATCACATCCAAATGTAAGTGAACACTGAACATCTCGTCCCAGAATCAAGGCTCCTGGTAGACTTCCACCTGTAGAGCGTACAGGTGGAAGCTGGGGTGGAGCTGAGGCTTTTAAAACTGTATGAACAGCAGCAGCAAGTGACAGCTTAACTTTCAGGTGAGTGATGTAGCAGCAGGTGTGCAGCAAGAGTGAGCAGAGCGCTGACAGCTTAAGTACACCACCCTAATGAAAAGGGTGCAGTGGATGTATCTCGCAGTGAGAGAAGTAAGCCGTGCAAGTATAGTATCCTGAACTGGCTCGCAGGGCTCTGGGTTATTCATAAGCTCGGTCCCTAATGGTCGGTAAGACCTGGCAGTCGGTCTTTCAGTCCATCCCAAAGGGGGTTGGATGAGGTTGAGGTCAGTGATTTGTGCAGTCCAAACTGCTAAAACTATTTCTTTGTGGAGCTGCGTGGCTTTGTGGGCAGGGTTGATGATGCTGACACAGAAAAGAGGTCTTCCCCAATTTGTTGTATGCTGTGACATTAAGATTTCCCTTCATCAATTTATTTTCAAATATTCTTCTCTTGCACATAATTAGATTCTTTCTGGCAGGCTGATCATGAAATGTTGCTTTACTCCGGGTAGATATCCTATTTAAGTTTGAGACCCTTTATTGGGGTGACCTGCCTTCAGGAAATGTTACCTCTGGAGTCAGATACTTATTCTGGATTCTAAGTGCTGCTGGCAGAAAGGCCATCATTAAAAATGAGCTGAAACCAGGAATTTCTTCAACTGAAGGCTGAATTGACATTATTTATGACATCTTTAAGGGGGAAAAAATAACTTTCTTAAGACTACAACAGGACAAATAAGTGAAAATATGGGGGAAGTTGTACATTACAGCTGTATGTCTGTTAATGTGAATCTTTCGGTTCTGTTCTGTCTCGATTTAATACTGATGCCTCTATATGACCTACATAAACAACAGGACCATCAGCGAGATCATTGGCTATTTCTACGTAGGTATTCTTAATGTCTGCGACCTTGTCGAATTCCCCTTGATGTCAATGAAAGGACGGTGAGAGCAGTACCACTTTTGTCCACAGGGGCCGCCGGAATCAACACAAAATGAAAGTCTTTAAGTGAATTGAGTATCATCAAGATACACTCCAATGTTACTTAGTTCTCCTTTTCTATTGTGGACTTTCATACCTGTATGTATGTATGTATGTATGTATGTATGTATGTATATATGTATATTTATTTATTTATTTAAACTTATTTGATATTGTATTATTTATTGTTACTTCTTTTCATATTTGTTGTTGCAACTGTTTAAAAAAAGACACAATGACTCTAAATAATTCCATTATTTGTATGTTGCCTTCACATAAACATATATATATATATATATATATATATATAAACATTTGAACTAAGGCACCTGCTTCAACCCAGCGTCCACATACAGCACAGTGTTTAATAAATCCAGGTTTATCTTTTTATAAAGTTGTATCAGAGGGATGTTTTTTTAAATGTACTTGAAAAACTTCCAATCAGTAAGTTGGTTTCCTCCACTATGCCCTTCACCGCACACAGAAACTCACAGAAACAACATCGCCCTCTGCTGGCCGTACAGTGGAACCGACTGGTTCAGCTGTGTTAGTTTGCAGGTGTTTTCATCCAGCTGATGTCGAGTTCCTGTTTTTTTATTCCCTGTGAGACGTACACAACCTCTAAATCCTCCTCTTGTGTGTTTTATCATTTTTAATGTGCTATCCCCGGTGCCTCGTTTTTGGAAAACGCACCGTGTGTCCTTGAATGCAGAGTACACAAGTTTCAAAGAATACGCCCTGGGTAATGCTAGAACTGAGTTTTATTTTTTAATACAGGAAAAAAAGAAAGGAGAAGATCAAAGTAACTGATGTTGGCATACAGACAAATATATATATCCCCCCCTCCAGACCTAAAAATCACAGCTCTGGGTTTGGGATTTTGGTTTCCAGCACAAAAACTGGGGTTTAAAAGGCTTTTGTGAGGCCGGGAGGAGGAGCCGGAGAGTCTGGGCTTCATGGGGGCGGCCGCAGTCGGAAGTACAACAGATGTTCACAGCATACAGGAATACATTTGTTAAATGTTGTGTCTGGATGTTTTCGTTTTGGTTGTTGTTTTTTAGTCATCATTTCCTGATGTGCTCTGTGTTCTGCACGTCTTTCATTGTGGTTCTACAATATTTCATGTCACTTCCAGCCTTTTTTTTCATTGTCCTCGACGTCTCAAGAATTGTGACATTTCTGGCTCAAAATGACATTAAACCGGTCTGACTTTGATCTTTCTATGCTCAATTTCTGCTGTTTTGTTTACGATGAGATGAATCATACTTTGTACTGCACCAAAACATTAAAAAGCCCCATCCTGACGTCCTCCTACTCCTCAGGAACAAAAGGTGCATTAGAGGCCACGCTGAGGCAATAAAGCACTTTGAGATTCATTCGTACTCCCCGAATTCTCAAAAACAAGGTCAAGCCTGATTCCTCAAGGTCACACTGCGACATTTCAAGTACGGTGAATCAGATAAATAGCCGTCTTTGATGTTGATGAGTAGCTTTTCACTGGCCTCTTCAGCTGCACTCCCTAATCTGCCACATTTTTCTTTCCACTCTTCAATTTGACAAACAGGATTTGAACTGAAGCCTCCCACACAGTAAACAGTGAGCTGCGAGTGGCTGAGGGAGATATTTACCACTCTGTGTGTTTACCACCTCATGCAATCTGAAACAGCAGCTGCCACTAGTCCGTTCCTCTTCTCCCGCCGCAGAAATGTCACCTGAAGGTAAACAACAGTCAGCCTTGTTTGTTTCAAAGCTAGCGGTAACAGCTAGCGCTCACTGAGCTCAAACTGGAAGCGTGGTGAGTTGATCGTGTACCGTGGCCGCTCCGGGTCACTTGGCCATGTATGCCGCTACCTCCTTCTCCAGACTCTGGCCGAAGCGGTGGTTGAGGAAGAGGAGCTGCCCGTGAGGAAGCAGGCGGCTGAGCAGAGCGTCGATACGGTTGCTCCTCAGCAGGACCTGGAGGGGACAGTGTTGTTAGTGACGACCCCGTGCACGCTTGTTACAGATGGTAGTGAAATCTGTACGGCTGCAGTGTGGTTTCATTACTGTTGCCTTTTCTTTTATTCCTGTTTCCATAACCTATAATGAGTTGTTGCTGTTGAGCTTTTGCCTATCAAAGCTCCACACTGCACCAGTTCTGTGGAGGTAAACTGTTGCACTGACTTGATTTCAGTCAGATGACGGCCTTTAAAAAAGGTGTGAAGACGCTCTGCTAAAGTCAAAATAAACTACAGTGTGTGTGTGTGTGTGTGTGTGTGTGTGTGTGTCACGGTAACGAAGCAACATGTTACCCAGGTTGCAACAGCGTGGCTCATGGTTTTTTTTAACAGTTAGTAAGAAAAGCAGCCCTATGGCACAGAGGATTATTACTACACAGACAGCACATTCACTGTTGGTTTCTGTCTTTTTATGGGATTTGTTGAATATCACCAGATTTATCCTTTAAGACCAAAGCAAACATTGTCTCCCAGTGACGGCTAAACTCTCCAATTATAAAATCTTTTTCCTCCTCTAATCCCCGCTTTCATAAAGTGGCCAACAGTAAATCGAACGCAGACAGAACTCCAACAAGTACAGGCCGATTATAAAAGGGTTAGACGACAGTAGACTGACCTCAACCTTTAGCCACCCAGAAATTGGAGTGTTTGATCTTTTTTTCTGAAGCTTCACAAGCAGGACTAGATGGAATATTTTTCCTTTGCCCGACATTTTGGGACTTTTTTCCAACTCTCACCCCTGATGTTGACGCACCGCTTCCAGTTTAAAATAATCTGGATGTTTTTTATCTCTTAAAAGATTGAGCCCAGGTTGGAAAATACATCGTTATCTCAGTCATTACGATTTTAATTGAGTATATTCGCTCTGTGCTCCTTTGGTGCCAAATCTAAACCTAAAAATAAAAACATGTCCGGGGTTGGTACTCGCCTCGCTGCCCTGCCCCAGCATGTGCAGGTGCTCCAGGCAGTGTCGGGTCAGGTTGCGCAGGGTCCCCTCGGCCAGCAGGAGGTTCTCGTGGGGCTCACAAACCAGCGTGAAGCCCAAACTCTGGACCCCCAGCCACAGAGCGCTCATCTCCTCAGAGAAGGGGTCTCCGGCTCTCAGGCGCACCACCCCGCCGTCGGCCTCCTGCAGGGCCAGCGCCTCCTCGCCGGGCACCGTCTCCACCAGCGGCCGACCTGAAGCCTCCCGGGACAGAGCGACGGCGCTTCGGACCTGCCTGAGTCACAGAGGATCGGAGGTTATCACCTGGACACTACGCTTTTTATTCCATATCAACACCATCATCTTAATCCTAACTAAGATTATGGTGCTAATTCTAACTATTTGTTCATCTATCCTTTTGTTTTATTAGTTTTTGTGGTGTTTTGTGGGTTTCATTGTGTATTTAGTGTAAAAAATAAAGACAAACTCAACTCTTAAATAAAAAAAAAGCATAAAGTGATGTCTGATAATGTTATATTTTGCTCAATATTTCCTTTATATATTTTGGCTGGTCAACAGAAAGAAGGAAAACCTTTAAAGTATAGAAGTTACAGTGACATGAAATGAAGGAAATCAAAAAAATACTATATTTGAGAAGTCAAACAGCCACATGTCCAGCTTTTAGAACTGGGGAAAATCTCTCCTGCCCAGTTTCCTGCTGTACTTCTGATCTTGAACAGTGCTACATGCCTCCATATTAACATTAATAAACACTCACCACATTTATTCTGACACATCAGTCTAACTGCGGCCTTTTACAGAATGACTGGAGGGCCTATTTCTCCTCCATGCCGGAAAATGATAACAGCATTTTCTCCCGACAGAAGTAATCAGTGGTTACAGGTTGTCACGAGTGACAAGAGAAAGCTACACAAAACGCCGCCGACGAAAACCTTATTTACTGGAAACAAATGAGACGAGCGCGGAGGAGATTGACGGCCTCCGCTGGCCTCTATAATGACTTTTACATTGTGTGCCATCAGGAAATCAGCAGGCGGAGGTGTCTGCAGAGAGGATGCATTACAGCAGGAAACAGGGGAGAGGGCGCTGTTCTTCAATGTGACAATACACTGTTTATATGGAGCCAGATCGGGAAGGATTACAGGGACGACACACGAGTAATGGAGAATGTGGTCTTAATTAAACACAAGCAGACTAAAGGGCGGATTATTTAATGTGAATACTGCATCACAGATTAGTTTTATATGTATATTTTAATAGTTTTTATCTATTATACATACTTAATAAGCTTCTTTTTTTTTGACAAATTCAGTGTTTGAGGTATGCTGAGGTTTATTTTTCTTACATTCTTAGAATCAACAAGACCTTGCGACCCCCTGTGAAGCTTTGGTGACCCCTTGTGGGGGTCCCGACCCCCAGGTTGGGAACTGTTGTCCTACTACAGTGGTTTTCTAAACTGGGGTCCGGGGACCAACAGGGGTTCTTGAATGGGCTCCCCCAGAGCAGAAGGAGAAAGAGAATATTTTAAATCTTAATCACATTTTTGGGAGGTAGGAAGGAGAGAAGACATCTGGTTGGCTGCTTTTCCCCGACTGTAATTCATAGTGAACTTATTTTAATCAACTGATGAGAAGATATTTAATTATCATCAAACCTAAAACTAAAAACCTGACTCAGGAGGTGATTCCTTAAGACAAATCCTCTCAAACTGGGTGCCACAGCTGCCAGTGTCATCTCACAGGAGGGCCACTTCAACATTCAGCTACTATAAAGACTATTTCCACTGTTAACATCATACTGCAAACAGCCGTTTACACGTTTATGTCCTCATTTTATCAAACGTTTGCACAGATTTGTGGAAACGTTTAACATCTGCCATTATTTTGCACCAAAGAAATAAAGAATATTCAGACAGAATTGTGTTTTTATTCTAATTAAATATGAAGGGAAAGTTCAAATTGAGAAGAAACAACTAGAAAAACTCATTTAAAAAAAAAGATCTTATATTGTTTTTTTCGACATCATGTTGCAGGGCCGGAGGTAAACGGGATGGAGGGCCGAAAAAAGCCCCCGGGGGCCTCAGTTTGAGACCCCCGTAGAGACTTGAGGTCTGTGGAGGATTATCACATCTCACTGGGAAACAAACAGTCTCTGCAATGACTTCATTCAGGGACAAAGATTCATGTTTGTTGAGATTATTCTTCCTTGTTATTGATTACCAATAGGCGAAGCAGTCTCTTGGTGCATCACAACACAACACGACTGGAGAGCAATGCAATAAACTTAAAGGGAATAAATGTGGTGGGGGAGGGGGGGACGGTGTGTCAGTTTAAGTGGAGTTGAATTAACTGGTGATACTGAGGCAGATGTGTGTAGGCGTAGCTTTTTAGGACCCCTTATTGCCGAACCACGAAATAAAGATTCTGACTACTTCTATGACATTCATTTGTTGGTGACTTTTAAAACACTGCAATAGAAACTCTTTACTGGAACAATAATGTTGGTGTCTGATCCTCACTAAGGAACTATTATTCGCTGTCATGGTGACATTAACAGCTGCTGATCGCTACCTCTGTTTCGGTTCTGAGTCCTTCCCGAGTATAACGTTACATCGAAGAAAGACTTCTTTGGATATCGTATATTGTAATCATACAATGGCTTTACAATACATCTTAGAAACACTAACTATTTTAAATAATTTAAACACACCAAAATGTGATTGTTTCTAAAGGCAACCACACGCTCGCACTGTTGTAAAACCACATTAACGGAGTGCGCTCGAGTTTGGATTAACCTGTGATATTATCCTGAGTGAGACTGGTTGCAATGATGAGCTCAATGCTCGTAAAAAACAAAACCTTCACAAAAACGTCTCTATAATGAATATTTATGTATTCCTCAGGAACCAGTAGGTTCTCAAATCTGTAAGAGTATAAAGTGAGGACTATAGGGAACGGCAATGTATGTGACATAACACTGATAACGTCAATAAAACGTCCAAAATCCTCATGTTATCGGCCTTGTGTCATAGTTGTTTTTAATGTGTGTAATTCATCCAGCCTATAACAGAATCAGTCTGAGTTTACGCTCCAAGCAGTGTGGAGAACTTTGTCAGCTGTGGCAGAGTGCACATTCATTCATGCTACACTATCTGTATTTACTGACGATCGTGTTTAATACTAAAATCTAGACGTTTCGCTCACTCATCCCAACGGTCTACAAGATTCAGTCAACATGTTTGCTGCACATGTCACAACTCTGTGGATTTGAATAAGTTGTGTTCAGCTGGGCATCCAACTTCTGCTCCTATTTGCCAAATGAGTTACAATATCTAATGTGGTTGAAAGACTTTACTGACATGTATAGAACATAAATAAAAGAGAAAAGTCTGTCAACTTTAATATGAAACGTGATCAATGGTAGACAGACGCTGCATCACAAGTTAATCTGGTCATATAATGCTTTGCCACAACTCTACTTCAACATGGTATTAAACATATACTGACTGTTTCAATATATAATACCACAATTCTATCACATCTTCTAATCTCTCTGTCCCATTTATTCAAAATCCCGCAAAGTTGTGACATGTGAAAAGGATTTGTATAGTGTGGACCCTCTACTGATTAAAGTTTATCCAATTTCTGTTCCTATTGCAGAATGAGATTTGACAGTTGTCTAATTTGCAAGAAAGAGTGTGCTGTTGCGTGTATAATAAAACTGTGATTGGTGAGATTAAAAGTGTAGACGCGACATGATGGATGGTAAAATGTTGTAGGCTATCACCTGTTGATCTGACTCCACATTGCATTAAACCCATACTGCAGACTGTATGTCTCCTTACACACTGTGTGACAGTATAAACTCTTCTCAAATAGACTGGACATCAGATTAATAAGGATTCGTAAAAAGACATTTTCTGAATTATTTATAGACATTTGCAGTGTTTGGAAGAGTCAACTCATTCAAATCTTAATCTTATTAGACATTTCATTTCAATGCAGTCAGTATTTCTAGTGCACACATCTGCATCAATGCTCGGGAATATCAGCAGTTCATTCACCCAGCAGTTAAACCGACACACCGGGGACCAACCCTGAGGCTGGTGATCATTTACTCACAGCTCAATACCAGATACCATAACTTCAATAAAAGATCTTTGTAGTCTCAGAAGCAACATGAAGAAGTGATTTAACCCTGGCTCTGTAAAAAACAAACAAAAACAAGCCACCTTGCCACCACAGCTATCTTCTCCTTCTGCAGAACTCTTCTCTCCTCCGGGGTGAGCCCTTTGTCGGACAGCATCCCTTCATCCGGTCCAAACAGCCGGGAGTACAGCATCCGAGCCTCCCCGGTACCGAGAGCAGAGAGCGGGCAGACCGTGTGGATCAGGAAACATCGAACCATGTTGTCATCAATGTAACTCACTGTGTGTACTGATGGTTCTGCTGAGCACTTCCGCGTTGGTCAGCTGACCGCTCTCGGCTGCCGTTGTTTGAACCACCAGATGGCGCGCGAGTATTATATTACATTATATTATGTTATATTATATGATATTATATTATATTGTGTTATATTATACTATGTTATATTATATTATATCATATTATATTATATTATATTATATTATATTATATTATATTATATTATATTATATCATATTATATTATATTATATTATATGATATTATTTTATATTATATTATATTATATTGTGTTATATTATATTATATTACATTACATTATATTATATTATGTTATATTATATTGTGTTATATTATATTACATTACATTACATTACATTATATTGTGTTATATTATATTATATTATATTATATTGTGTTATATTATATTATATTATATTATATCATATTATATTATATTATATTATATGATATTATTTTATATTATATTATATTATATTGTGTTATATTATATTATATTACATTACATTATATTATATTATGTTATATTATATTGTGTTATATTATATTACATTACATTACATTACATTACATTATATTGTGTTATATTATATTATATTATATTATATTGTGTTATATTATATTATATTATATTATATTATATTATTTTATATTATATTATATTATATTGTGTTATATTATATTATATTACATTACATTATATTATATTATATTATGTTATATTATATTGTGTTATATTATATTATATTATGTTATATTATATCATGTTATGTTATATTATATCATGTTATGTTATGTTGTATTGTATTGTATTGTATTATTATATTATTATATATAAAATTATATTATATTATAAAACTTACTCTCATGGCTAAATTGTAGGTATTTCTAAAATCGACCAGGCAACATCTATAAAATGTTAAATAATAATAAAGAATATAGATATAATATAATATAATATAACATAATATAATATAACACAATATAATATAATATAATGTATTATAATAAGTGACAAACGCCATCAGTCTTTCCAAAAGAGTTCAAATAGCTTAATTTGAATGACCAAAAAGATAAAGATATTTACGATATCAAATATATTTAATTTATTATCATATATCACATATCATTTTTCCTGAAAAACATTACTAAAACAATTAATTGATAAGCAATCAGGTCGACCCCAGCTGAGTTGGATGGAACTGAAATACCAGACAATACTGGAGGAGGCTGCAGAGAGGTTGAATGAGATCAGAGTGTGTCGGGGTCTCAGCAGACAAACAGAGGCAGCTGTTAATCCAACAGCTGCTGCTGGTCACGCTACTTTACTCTGAGAGGCCCTGCTCAGTGTGTGTGTGAGTGTGTGTGTGTGTGTGTGAGTGTGTGTGGGTGAAGAAGTGGTGGAGGGAAAAGAAAGAAAGAAAACATTCACCCAGTTTTGTTAACATTCACTCGACTGTCCTGTTAACCTCGTCACCCTCCGCCCTGCACAGACCCACTGAGACTGAAACAAGAGCTGGAGATGTGATGGTTCTAGGTGTTTATGGGGGAATTTAACATTCTGCTGTGCTTGATGTGTGATTTAGCCATGCTAGGGTGGCTTTAGGGATTGCAGTTGGTGCGTTTCCATCCACTTGCTTTTATGCATATTTTCTATTTGCATAAAACTTTAATATGAAGACTGGAAACAAGGGGAACCAGCTAGCCTGGTTCTCTCCACTGATAACACAACCCCACTAGTTCTCATGTTATGTCTTGTTGATACTCCAAACAAAAACCGTAGTGTACACGTTACACAATGTGGCTTTAAGGCAGATTTGGTCACTTTCCCACGCTTTACAAATCTTCTTGCTAACCAGCTGCTGATGGTGGCTTTATATTTACCTTACAGACATGAGACTGGTATGAATCTTTTCATCAAACCCAAAATGTCAAACATTTCCTTTAAGACAGGACTGACTACTTTAGATTAAAGTCAAGTCCTGGTACACTCTGATCAGGACACCGACACTTAATGTTGAGCCCAGTTTTATGAAGCATTTCATCTGAAAAGGTGTGGACCAGAAGTATTTCAGCAACACCCACACTGTGTGTAATTATTAGCCCAGGCAGATTTACAGGTATTACGCTTCAGTAACAAAGGAGTGAATGAGAGGGATCCCTGCAGGTAACTATTAACCAAAACCAATGTGGACATTCAATGTGAAAGTGAAGCCAGATTTCAGAGTCAGTAACATATTTACTGCAGCAACTGTATGCAGAGGATCATATTTTAAACACATTTTTAAAACCAAAGCAGCGAGCATGAAGGATGTGCTGCCACTCGTGTGATGAATACCACAACAAAAGTCTGAGCAAGTTTCAGTGCTTTTGAAATATGAGTCACAGTTCCCGCTGATGAAACCAGCCGAATAAGAACAACAACAGGATGTATCAGCCACTAACACGGACCAATAACAGCGAGGCGTGCATGTTTGAAATAAAGGAAGCTAAAGACAACATCCTACGCTAAAATATCTTTTCTGCCTATTCTGCATTCTCAGCGGGGGGGAAATGAAAACATGCTCAACTAATGGTGAATACACCGAAAGCAGAAGCATGCACAAGAGTTTAAATATCTTTACTGAAAACTCGGCGCAAGTTTCTAATCCTCAGTGACATTCAAAAAGGAAGTTCACCTCACAAAATCACAAGCCCCCACCCTTGAAACCACAGTGTTATGCTATGTTTCAACACCCTTTCCAGGTTGTTGGGGCCTTGTTTTACAGGCTGGTTTGTCAGTTTACTGTCAATGTCAACGGGTGAGAGCAAACAGGGGTTTTAAAGGTGACACCCAGGCTGAAGCTTTGTGTGAGGGCACCTTTGATCGGCCCTGCTGCAGCCTGCAGGACCCCGGGGTGGGGTATCAAACAGGACAGGCTGTGGTAAAGAGGTGGATTCACAAAGGAGAGATGGTGATAGGAAGGGTGGAGTAGTTTAGGGGCAACTCTGCAGGGTGCTGGTGAGGTGCCTGAGAACTGTTGTTACTGTAATGACTGACAGGCAGGCAGACGGATGCATTTGTAGTTTAACTGCTGACCTTGTTGGCAGGGAGGGATTTTTAGGAATGCACGATACAGACTTTTCTTCAGCCGATACGATAACCGCTTCACACGGCCGATACCGATAAAATAACCAATAATTTCACATTCTGTTGAGTTCATAACCTGTACTTTTTACACACTAATGGCAAGAAAGACTAAGATGTTCCCAAACATATTTTCATAAAACATAAAGACCGTCAGTTTCCCTCGTTTATCTGAATATTTATAGACCCTATTATACACTATGAGAGCAGCAGTTATAGATTATTTCTGGTCAGCTGGGTGCAGCGCAGCAAGAAATAAACACAACAATGATTATCACCTTTTAAAGCTGCTGTCCGTTTGAAGGAACTACAGATGTGGTGCTGACATCTTTTACATTAGATGTACAGGTTTCCTCCAGTAATATTGTTGTTCCTGTTGTCTGTGTAAAAGAAAAAGGCCATGAGGAACAGGGAAGGTAAAGAAGCTACAAGTCAAAACCATAAATTAAAGGAATGGCCCCCACATTTCAGGAAATGTGCTTATTTACTTTCTCAGCGAGAGTTAGATAAAAACAGATTCCATTCTCGTATTTGTACCGTAATAAGCTTTTTAGCTTAACTTAGCATACAGACTGGAAACTGGGGAAAGAGTTAAACTGGCTCTGTACAAAACTTACTCAATCTGCCTATCAGCACCTTTAACACATAACTCATTAGTTTAATCTGTCCAAAACCAAAAGTGGGCCAGTGTTTACAGTCTTTAAGATAAGCTGCGATAAAAAGCTGCTGGTTATAGCTTTAGATTAAGCAAATAAACATAAAAGTTGTTTCAATCTTCTCGTTTAACTCTTGTCACAGAAAAAGGTTTTTTTAACTTGAAACTTTTAAGAGAAGAAAAAAAGACCAAGAAATAAAACAGACAAAACAATCTGCCTGAATGGTCTCATTACACTGCAACACTAAGAAAACCATCTGTAGCTTTTATTTCACATGTAATGATTTTAGATTTAAAACAAAGCCCACATTGTTAGTCTAATTTAAAAAAAGTTTTGCTAAATTTTTAAAGCTCCCCCTTTGCTTTGCTGAATCTGCTGCTCCTAATTGGACAGGTCCTGTTGTAAAACCTGGCTCGGTTTTCATTAGGGAGACCTGCCAAGGACTCATCTACATTTTAAAACCAACTGTTGAAGTGGAAAATGAAGCTCGTCTTGAAAGCCTCTCGAAAGTGTTGCATTATGTATGCCTCATGTAAAGGTGCAGGGCCCCTTAGACCTCAGTAACCGGCCAATTAATCGCCTTGCCCAGACAAAGGTGGCAGCTTCATATGAATGGAATACACTTAATTGACAAATACTTGTAAAGATCACTGAAACAAAAGTTTTGTTTTCTGCTTTCCCACCTACTTCCCCCCCATACATTAAATCTTTACCATCATCCCAGAGTTTAGGGAAGAATTCATGCCTCTTCAGTTGAGCTGGAGTTGCACAAGACAACCAACAGACACTTGTGTCAGCTAGAAACTGTTGGCTGTAAATTAGTCTTTAGAGCTCAATCGGAGGAATGCAAACAAAGGCCTGCCCTCTTATTCCCATACACACGTCCGCGGGGAAACTGCCTGATTTCAAACTTTGGTACAGTGCCAGAAGGGCGGGAGTTGTGCTTCTATGACCTCTCCGTCAGATCTGTCACGTGTTTACAGCACGTGGTGGCTCTGATTTTTTTTCCCCCTCGTGCAACAGGACTGTTAACCTCCCTGTCTGGACACGTCAGGGGAACGGCTGGCTGCCAGGAGCTGCCCCCACAACGCCACTCCCTCTGCATACAGGAATGTGTGTGTGTGTATGTATGTCGAGGCACGTGCTGCAGCGGAGAGGCCACTCCCAGGGTCGGCTAGAGAGGGAGAATTTGAAAAAACAGGAACTGCTCTATGTGTAGGAAAACCCGTGTCCCCGCCGCATGCAGGACAGACCAAACAAAACGGCACACGTGCTATTCTTAGCGTTCAAATGCGGAAAGTCCAGTTTGCTTTGACTGAACCCTGCACACCGAGGGCCTGTTAGCACCTCGGTTACAACTCTGAATCAAAACCATAAGTGCCTTAAATCTGGAACACGGACTGATATGTATAGTCAAGCTTCAACCAATGATTATTTTCATCATCATTTGATTGTGTTAATTATTTTCTCAACTACAAAACATTAGAAAATATTGGAAAAAGGCTCATTACCCATGTTCAAGCTGACAAACTTGCTATTTCAAAAGGTTTATACTGCTCGTTTTGTTCCTTTAAAAGCAAACAGATTCTGCTTTTACAATCATAACAGGAAAAAAAAAAACCAACCTTTAAATCCTCACAGTGGAGAAACTGTAGCAAGAGAATGTTTGACATTTGAGCTTAATAATCAATCAAATCAGTAAAAAAGGTCTCCTTCGGGGCTGTGTCCACAATCACTGCCTTATTCAATATGCCCAACATAATAAAACACTCATAAGTGATTTCAGTCATTTATGAATAATCTGGTGCCATCACTGACAGGTGTAGTGTTGTATAATCTTAATGTATACATACAGAAAGGTTAAATTGCATTACAGTATTTCAGCACATAGTCTGCACGCTATGGACACATTCTGTTGCATTGTGGGAATTTTTGGAGGGCAGTGAAGTTTTGTACTAAAAATACAGTTTAAAAAAAAAAAAAAAAAAAAAAGACTTAAAGTAACTATAGTGCACTATATAGCAAATAGGAGCCATTTGAAAACGCATCCCTGGTTTTACTCTGCAAAGTGATTCAAATAACTCCCATTTATTGACCCAGATCCTACCAACAGCACAAAATCTAAAGTCAGACAATTTAAAAAGGAAAATAAAGATACTTGTACATCACAATTGAACACACATTGGCTGTTTATTTCAGCGGCTCCCCCACGAGCCTGTACCAAAATATTCAAATCACCCCAATTCATTAAACAACATTAGATCTGCAGAGGGGAAGACAGTTTCTCTCAAAATTAAAAAAAGAATCAAAGCAAAACACAGAATGTTTTTCTTAGATCAAAAATGCTCTCACACTCGCTGACCTGCAGCATTAGAAAAAAATCTCACTGCAAAGTTAACAGGTAGTTGGTTTGCTTTGGCATCTTCTGGCCGAGAAAAAAAAAAAAGTTACCAAGTATTGCAACTGATCAGAAAGGAAGAAGAAAAGAAAAGCTCTGCAATAATCTTATACAAGTTGTCATTAAAATGTCCAATTAGTATTTTGGGACGCCTAGAGAAAGGCATACAACAAAATGTGTTAAATATGTAAATGGGGGGGTAGACACAATTCATTAAAAATTTAAAAATAAAACTAGTATCAAAAACAAAACAAAAAAAGCACCTGACCATTTCAAGGTATTTAAATTAAGTGCTTAAATAAGGTGGGACATGACAAATGCAAAATAAAAAGCAATAATATCCAGGGAGGAGACTGAGACTTCAGACTTGGCAGTGTGGTTTGGTTGTGTTATTGCAATCTGGCAGTGATTTGTGCTGCAAACGCCAGGATAGTAAAAAAACAAAAACAAGGTAAAAGAGGCAGTAGGTCCAAGTGGTTTTTAAAAACGATCACATTGCTTCAGATCACCTTAAAAGAAATCTGTCCACTGCACCTCAGCGACTTCTTTAGATCAAGCGTTCATCGTGTCACGTCTTTCCCCTCTTTAAATTTGCATAAATAACTAACTTTGCTATAGTTAAATGAACATTTGAGACTTTGTAAAATCCCCTTCTGTTGGCGCAATCCTAAAAAGGCATTTCCTCGTTTGGTGGGGTGAGGCCTCAGGCTGAGAGGAGTTTGTGCTCCGTCTGTTCAGGGGGGGAGGCAGTGTGTTTTGGAGGCAGTTTAGGAGGACGAGGAGGCGCTCACAGCTTCTTGAGTCGGCTGTACATGTCTCTCTTGCTGCGCTCCCCGGCCCAGGTGCGACTCTTGAGGCGGAACTTCCTCAGGTCCTCCTTGTAGTCCTCGTGGTGCATGGGCCGGTAGGACTCAGGTTCACATTGTGACTGCGCAAGAAGAGAACGAGAGGAGTTCAAAGTACTGAAGAGCCACAGAGGGTTTCATTTAATCATTACTACAGTGGACAAGTGCTAACTAAAGTGGTAAATTATAAAAAAGGTGGCTATGCATATGACAAAATCCTCTCAACTTAAAAGCTCAAACTTTTGCAAGACCACGAAGATATGCCTAAAAAAAAAAAAAAAAAAAAAAGCTTGTAAAAGGGACTCTGATAAGCTTATTTTGTTACATACCCGATAGTAATAGGTGATAAAAGCTAGAGTAATAATTTAGTAGTGTAATTTGAATAAATAAGCTTTAGAAAACTAAAAAAGTATGAAAATCCAAATATTATGGAGAAAACTCCAAGTGGCCATAATGCACACTTAGAAAGTGCATTATCTTTCATAAGGTGCCGTTTTATATGGGAATCCCTGACATGAACTCCTTGAGTGCAGTCTCAAAAAATTAAACCCAAATGCACAAAAGGCTTACCTGCCAATCACACATCATCATAACAGAATTACTTTTAGGACAACGGGATTCTCAGTACAAAATGTGTCCTTCAACAAAACCACTTCAGTGACAGACTGAGACAAAATCTCCCCAACAGGTACCAACTGCACTGTGGTGAGATTGTTAGAGTTCGACTGGCAGACAGTTTAACAGTTTCAGTTGAAGAGGAATCAAAAGCTAAACTGACCTGGAAATGGGGGAAGAAGTCTTTGTATCCGCCCTTGAGGATGTAGAGCTCGGGGTAGTGGAGTTTGGGATACTCGTTCATGGCGCGGTCTCGCTCCCTGACGAAGCGGCACATACGGGGGCCGCGCTCCGACGAGAACTCGCAGTGGAAGATTATGACGACGCGTTTGTCCTGGCATGATGGGATGATGGGTGTTTTGAGGAGGAAGTCCTCCACCTGGTCCTCCTGGTGCAAGTTCAGGGCTCCCTGAGAGGCCAAAGACAAACCCAGACGCTTAATTCATAAGATTAAATGACAGTACACGAACTAGGAGAAATACCATCAAATTAATGTATTTATGGTTCTCAGTGACTTGCAGTGTCTAAAAATGTCTTAAAGCTAGTTGCAGTGTATACCTCTACATATTTCTGAAGGAAATGATTCCCACAGTGGATTTTCTTTCTGCTCAAAAAACTAAGTATTTGGACATTCGCTCACCTTGATGTGTCCTCCCTCAAATTCGTAGGGGTAGCGGCAGTCGATGACAATGACTTGCTCGACTAGATGATTAAACTGGTTGGAGACAGCTGCCACCATCTGAGGATAACACAGAACACCATTATTAACAAGTTGAAAAAGGGGCGATTTGTAATTCTAGCACAAAAAAAAAAAGGAATGTTATATATTTGTCCGCTCCACTTTGACAAAGAAAGAAAAACCAACAGTAGTGCCTCTACTCACCGTCTCTGAGGTAATGTACTTGAGGTCTTGATGTTTGCCATCCACTGTGGGGAGTACAAAAGGCTAAAGAGAGGAAGAAAAAAAAAAAAAGGAAGTTAGATCAGAAGAGCAATTCAACACAATTAAGTGATCAGTGTAAGAAACACAGCCGCCCTCCTTACCTTGGTGAAATCTCCTATTAGCTCGTTAGAACCGTCCTCTCCGTCCAGCAGCTTCTCAATGTCCGTCTGGCAGAAGGACTTGGACCTCTGGAGCAGAGAGAAGCCCTGGAAGAGAAGAAGGGAAGAACTTAAGGAGGCAGTCAAGGAGAAAATGAGGTAATTTGAGATAGTCTGTAAAGCCAGGGACAATAGCCAGCAATCCTTCAGAAGCCATTACTTCACTTCCACTAAGGAGGCAACAGATGGTCAGTTTGTGCTCAGGAAATTCATCCCAACACCACGTCTGTGCTGTTGTCTTTTTTAAGCTTAAAATTCCACCTTTGTTAAACAAGACTATTTCCAGGTTGTGGCAAGTGATTTGGACTGGATCAACACTAGAAAATGGGCTGCAATCACTGATGTTGGTGATTGTGTGTGTGTGTATTATGTATTATATATATATATTATATCTCTATATATATATATATATATATATATATATATATATATATATATATATATATATATATATATATATATATATATATATATAGAGTATCTCATCTTTGAATACAGTGAGAAGCATGTGACTAAATCTGGTCTTAATGGAAATCTACCAGTTCATTTATCAAAGTGTGTTCCCACAGTCCTGTTGCCATCATGTGAACACTGGTCTCATTCATTAAACTGGTGCCACATTAACTTCGACAAACAGTTATGGGTGTACCAGGCAGGGAGGACTCACCATTCTCGGGGATTCAGGGTTTTGCTCCAGGGTGGTGACTTGTGTTCCTGCGAGACTGCGTCGCCTCTTCACCCTCACTGGCGTGTTTTCGTCTCTGGGGCAGTCGGGACGTTTGACAGAGGGACGGGACACCGGGCTGGGCATGGAAGGGGAGCGGAACAGGCTCCGCGGTCGACAGCGAATCACAGGCTGAAGGAGACAAAAGGGATTCAATTTTGATTCTTAAGACGACATGCCTAATAAACACAGTATTAATAGAAACACTTATAATAAAAGAAACATTACAACGTCTAGATTCAGACTTACAGAATCTTCTCCGATGCTGTCGGCCACCAGTGGGGCAGTGAGCAAGCTGGCCATTCCCATTGGCATCCCAGAGTCATCCTGTAGGCAACAAGGGGAGGTTGTCAGACAAATAGTACAGCTAAAAAACAATGAAATCATGGTGTTTACTGGCATCTGAAATGAAATCCAGTCAACAAATACATCATTTCCATGGATGGCCTTACCTCCATGTTGTCATCCAGAACTTCCAGGAAGCCGTCGTCTTCGTCGTCCAGAGAGGAAGTGAGGGAGGAACGTCTCAGGAACATGGGGCTGTCACAAAAGTCAAGCTGCTGGATTGGAGGAGGTGAAGAAAGCTGGACACGGGGAAAAGATGAGGAGCGTTAGGGTCTCTCTACAACCGGGCCAACACAATGATTGATAGCGATTCTTCACGTGTTCACATACCATGAGGGCTGGTGCTGAGCTGGGACGGCGGGCAAACGCGTCCTTTGACTGGCCGCTGTTGAAGGAGCGCATGCGACAACGTGATGCCGGCTTGGTTGGTTTCTTGAATTCAAAGCCCTCCTGAAAAAATAATAAACAGTGAATCAATGCTCAACACCTTTTAAGAAGCATTTATCAGCACCTAATTTTCTCGGTTTTATGGATAATACTCCAAATCTAATCCTATCCCAAACTACACTGAGTCAGTGGCTACTAATCTGTTGCTGAGCTGCACACAGTATTCCTGGAGGCATTCATCGCCTGTACTAAACACAAACTTACAGAAGGAAAAAACATAATCCTGTCCTGTGTTGGGTGTTAATCTGCGATACTGAAACCAATATTATTCAAATAACCTTAAGTGACATAATAAAAATCCAAAGATTGGCCAAAGTTTTAAGCCAAATTATGCTATGCTTTCACCATGGCAACAAAGCTTTCTGAGCAATACTGAAGTTCTACAGTAGCTACAGTATCTAACCAGCCATTTGACAATGTAGGTTCTCTTGCAGGTTTGCCTTCTAAGCAAAAAGCCCAAAGCGGTGTCACTGACCTCCGGCATGTTTTCCTTGTTGCCCCGTTTAGAGGATAGGGAAGGTTGTTGGCCGAATATTCCATAGCGGTGAGAATCCGCTTCCTGTCCCTTTAGAGAAGGACTGACACTCTGCAGCTGGAGCTGAGGGAGGAGAAGAGGGATGCAGTGATGAGACTCAGCAACTGTAAACAAGCTGTCCTGTGGTAAGTTTACACTGGAGAAGGATTTGAACTCATTAAATATGAAGAACCATCCTCAGGACAAAATCTTGTTGCCCAGCTAAAAGTTTGACATTTCTTTTACTGAGGCTTTAAAGCCAGTTGGGATTCTTTTAAGAGTCACATTTGCTGCCCCACATACTCCTGTCCCTTGTGTGTTTATTGATCCATTTACTTCATTTTAAACTCTTCTGGAGGCATATTGCGTGCTTTATGGATGTCTGACAGCCAAAATTCTTACATCATCTGTCAGCCCCGAACATGAGTCAAATATTTTACGAAATAAAATAAGACATGCAGGAAGGTAAACAAAAAACAAAAACATGACAAATCTGCTTACTGGCAATGAGTTGATTCTTCGAATTGGCATCTTTCTATAAATGATAGAAGGAAGAAGAAGGAATTGCAGTCAAATCAAACAAAATCAAAAAGGCAGACAAGCCGCTTTAATCTGAGGAGTTATGACTCCCTGGAGAGCAAAATGTTCAAATAAGGAGAGGCAATAACAACCAAACACTAGTTCATGATTGTTGGTTATTGACTAGAAAGCAACTTACTCGTTAATAACTCTGCTCGACTGTTGAATGGCCCTTTCAAATCTGTAACAGAAAACATAATAAAAAAATTAAGGGGTTTTGAAATGCAACAGATTTAAACAAAGCAGCTTTGTACAAGAAAGAAAAAATTAACAGGCAACTAACTAATCATTTAGTCAAAAAATAAAAAAAAGTGAAAGCAGTGAAAATGTAAATTTCTCTGAGCCCAATTTCACATTTTCAAAATGGCTTGTTTTGTAATCCTTTCATTTGTAAAGTCAGTTAACAATTAATCCATTCTAAAGCAATTATGTCAGCCCTAACTAAGTAACATGTCTGTATAATAAAACCTGTGAGGGAAAGAGGCTGGAATGCCTTCAGTGCCAGTCAAAAACACCTTGTGGTCATAAACTGCAAAAAAAAAAAAAAAGACAAAGAACCTGGAGCTCTATTGAGAAAGCAAGGGGAACGGTTGGACTAGAGGAAGTTGGGTGAATGCATAGAGGCAAGAGGTGGTCTTTGCATTGGAGTAATGCCCACCTGTATGCTAAATGAGTAGAGAGCTCAGTGTGCTGCTCAGGAGGGGGGGGGGAGAGAGAAGGGATGCAGGGATCAGCTAATCTACCATATGCCTGCTGGAGCCAGCGGCGCCAACCCCTTTTCTGCAAGACCCTTTTGTTTGTCGGGGAGAGAGCGTGTCCCATTCAATGGAGACCAGAACAAGGTGGGGGCCGTTGTTCTCCAGGGGTGCCCTCATTTCAATAGCCCTGACGCAGAAGAAACTCCAGCCGCCCCTTTTTACAATTGAAATAACAGTGCATAGGAAGAGTGTGCCAAAACCCAGAGGGGGTGGGCTATCATTAAACCCAAGCGCGGGGCTCGTCCTCCCCCCCCCAGCCTGAAAAACTCCTAGCAACCGAGCAGCTGTAAAAAGGAGGTGAATGAGGTCTTGAGGACCAAATGCTGCTGTAAAGGAACTCGCACATCAGACGGCGGCAGATGTCTGCAGAGACTCGCCCAACTCAGAATTAAGAAAGGGGGCCACCCAAGATTAGCATTATGCTGACAAACCCAGTCAAGATAACCAGTCCAAGTGCTGATAGGAACTAGTCTTAACATTTCATCTTGCCTGTGTGCATCTTCTTCCCAAGGGTTACTAACTAAGTAACTTTTTCACTTGGTAACTTAAAGAAAGTTGAGCTCACACACACACTTATGAGATAATCTTCTTAGCAAAAAGAGTGAAGCTTTCATCTTAAAGCCAACGGTAGAAACAATAATCCTACAGATGAGAAATAGTGCTTGGCTCAGCTGAGCCCAAGCACAGGGTGGAGGTGGAGGTTGTGTGTGAGTGGGGGGGGGGGGCTGCTGCTGCTGGTGGGGGTGAGCAGAGGGACACAGCTCACAGGCTGATTGATTAGAACAGACATGATGAGAACGGCGCAACTTACGTGTCCTCAATTTCAACAGGATCCATGGGACTCGGGGGATCCATGCCGAGGCCTGAAGGAAGAGAGATTCGTGTCACAGATCAATACAAGCATCAGGTGGTGCGGCACATGACCCGAGACTGGCACCAAAGAACCAGCTGAATACTAATCGATTACAACTGAGAGGCTTGAAAAACTAACAGAGAAATTAATTGTTGGAAAAAATCACCACTGACAACACTGATCTGAATTTAAGGGACAATGAAATCAGATGTAATGCATGCACATTCAGGCCCCTCAGGCATCGATTCCTAGAGCATCAATTAGCAGAGACAATAGCCTTTAAAGGGGGGGGGGGGGCTCACCAGCATCAGATGAGACGTCAGAAGCAAAAGAGGGAACCTTCTCAAGTGGTGCATGCTTTCTCCTTTTCGGGGTATCATAGTGGCTGCGTGGGGGACAAAAAAGATGAGCAGGGAAAATCAGTGTTGTGGACATTAAACCACAATTTGCATCCATAAACAACAACAAAAAAACAGCTGCAGTTTACATTTATACACGTAGAAGTTATAGCATACGACTTAAATAACAATAATAACAACAATACCTTCCGAGTACAACTAAATTGTTCATGTCCAGAGCCAGATTGGTGACAGGAGACAGCACCGTCGCGGGTCCAGGGGAGAACAGGTTCCTGCAGTGCCCGCTCATTGTGCTCAGCTCGGGCAGAGAGAGCGAGGAAAGCCCGGGGATCCCGTCGGGCCTGCTTTTCAAAACGGTGTTTACAGGACTGGTGCTGCCAAAAACATCCACAGTCTCCATCTTTAGCGCTCCAATTAGTACAAATCCTACAGGACGTTATCGCTGTGAGCTGTAGATTTATTTTATTTTTATTTTTTTTAAGAATTTGGGGTCGGAACGTGAGAATTAGCAAAAAAAACTTCGAGCTAACCCGGAAGCTACCCAGTCAGCTAGCATCGATTTAAGAAAACATTTTCCAAACACAAACGACCCGAAACATCGGCGGGAAATGACTCAGCGGTTCCGTGTGGAGTTAAAACTTTTATCCGGTCTTGTTAAGATACTAAAGCCACATAGTTGTTCCTGTCAGAGAGCTGTAGCACAGCGTACTCCCTCTCTGACGACCCCCGGGTTTCTGAGAACAAGAGACCGGAGCTGCTCGTATTTATGTTCAAAATAGCAGCTCAGGAGCGGCAATCTGTCAGCCAATCAGCGCCGTTGTTCGTCATCCTCTCGACCAATCAGAGCGCGGTACGACACGGCGGCTGTTGTCCCCTCGCTGGATGGATGGAGGAGGAGGAGGAGGAGAAAGGAGGATGTGACACAATCCTTTACATTTTTTCATCTTTCTTCTCAGAGATCTTTTGTTCTCTTAGCTTTTATCAATTAATATGGCAGAAATAGATTTTTTTTTTTTACTAATAGACGTCCCTGCTTTAGGAGGAGTTGTGTCGTTGTATGTGTGTGGAGTAAGATTCACTTGGGTTTGCTGACAGGAGATTCTGGAAAAGATGAACAAAACAGGACACAGCTTTTCCAAATGTCTCTTAATTTTACAAAATGGCTGCCTTGCAGGGCTGTTTACCCACAAATAAAACCACAGTGTAAGTTCATAAATAATAATAATGATAATAATTAATCTAAACTGAGGTCGAACTCATTCACACATGCAAGCTGAAATAAAAGTTTATTGCATAATGCTTACAATAGGACAGAGAGACTGCAAACTGTATGTATTGGCAAGGCTGCATATACACACATATACAGTATATAAATAAATATATAAATGATCTAAACCTGGAAGTTATAAATAAATATTGCATCATTTTATTTGATAGATAAAAGATAAGATAAAACCTGAATTTATATATTGTTGCCCATGATAGATAGATAGATAGATAGATAGATAGATAGATAGATAGATAGATAGATAGATAGAAACCACAGCTTTGTCTTCTTACATAGTCTCTCATATCATTTCTCAACATTTTGGTGAAGCACATTGTGAGCTGACCGCGTGCAACATACCGGTAACAGAAGCCCAGCTCATACGCCTCCCACACAAAGTGACTCAGACAAAAAGAAATCTGTTTCCCACTGATGTAATACCGAATGCTTCCTTTCTTGCCTTTCTGTCCAACCAGTTCACACATTCTTCTCCTCTATAAAAAAAAATCATCTTTAAATTCGTTGTTACGTCGTGTACTGAGAGGTCAGCTGTGATGAATGCTGCTTGGTGTTTCTGAGCGTGTACAGATGTGTGTGCGCGTGTGTGTGGTTTTGCAATCTGCGGATGTGTGTGTGAGCTGGTGTGGGACTAAAGAGTAAAGTGGTTTTAGTTATATTTTCCTACATCGCTTCCTGTCTCTAATGCGAGAACAATTGCAACAGAAACCACTTAAAATGACTAAAAATCATCCACACTGCCTCTTCTGGTATGCACATATGGTTGTATGATGGAGTAATCTTATCAAGTGAATGGGATTTCAGACAGTTTAGTTTAAGTACATTTGTGGAATAAATAAGTTTAAACCAGTTCTGTTGCCTGCTGGTCTCCACTCAGACACACACATAATGTCTCCTGGATTAGGCTCTATGATGTCTTGCTGTGTCACCTACTAGCTTCTTCTTCAGGACTCCATTTTGAAAGTTTAAGTCTGCAAACAGGGACCAAACCTCATGTTTGTAAAGTCAAATACAATATTGCTGACCAACAGACACACACCTGCCTGTAACGAGTTGCTGGGGCTGTCCGACCGACTAAACCAGACACATGTAACCAGTAAAAACTCCTCAGTATTTGGCCTCAGGTTTACGGGAGGTTTGCGTTTGTGGTTCTGCAACTTTTTCCTCAAGTTTCTGTTTACTTCACTTTAAAAGTCTTTCCCCAGAAGTCCATGATTCTCATGCACGGCCCTGACTTTATTTACAATACTGAATGTGCAGTTATATGTAATTCACAGGCTGATAGCTTATCAGGCAGGCAGCACTCTTTTTAGCACAACAACAAGGTCTTTCAGTATCATTTTTAGCAAACCTGTAGCTGTAACGGGGGTGTCCTGTCCTTTTGGCCTTGTAGAAAAGCCACTGTTCACCGGAACAGTCTTTATTCAGCTAAAGTGTGATTGGCATCACAAATGTAAATTAAGTTTAATGAACTTCCCTGGAGAGATACGAGCACAGGCCTGTGACTCTAGGCTCCCCACCCCACATCCCTAAAGAGGAGACAAAACGAGGGGGGGGAGAGAGAGAGAAAGACAGCGACACACCGAGAATAAAACCTCCTAAAACCTCCCGACACCTTCTGTTTCCACCAAACCTGCAGTGACTCCCCGCTTCCCGCCAATTTCCTCTTTACACAAGCTCACACCAAACACCCCAAAAATAACAAGTGAGCACGATTCACAAACTGTTTATTTACCAAAGCTAATAATAGTTACCATCGAATACAAAACAAGCATCCAGATTTAAATTTAAAAAAAATCTGCATTAGGTACATTGCTAAATAGGTTTATACGTCGAGGAATCTGCACGAATAACAATAAAAATGGGACAAGAAAAGTGTCTATGTATAAGATGAAAGCAAGTACAGCTGTCATGAAGCATAACTCGATAATCCAAACTGGTTGACCGTCTCTGTCGATCAGTCAGCTGGGTCATCGGTATAAAATTTATAAAGACATTCTGAGAGATGGGAAGGAAGTTTTATACACCAGCCAGTTTGCAAATGACAGAAAATTAATCAGCAACAATTCTGAGAATCAATTACAGTCACGTTTTAAGCAAAGTTAAGTCAAAGTTAAATTATTGTTATGAGCAAATCAAGAGCAGATTTCAATCTACTTTTAAACTGCACTATAATAATAAAGAACAGAATTAATGCAGCTTCAGTTTCAGCACTCGGTTGATTTTCAGAAGTTAAAGAAATGAATGGAGACCTGGAACAAAAAACACACGTGAAAAACATAAAACTGTAGGACATGCATTCAAAAAACATTGTCAGCAAGAAAGTAATTTGTTGTTTAAGAGCAGGAACTTGTAAACAAACCAGTGTGGACCTTCAAAATGAGAGAAAACAATAAATTTAAGGCTTTCCAACAACCTGCAGGCAGTGAGCTAGAATCAATATAACCTTTATAACGATAGTAAATGCTGCTGTAAAAAATGGATAGAGTTTATTACTGCAGTGTATTATTGTTAAACCCAATCTAATCTCTATTTATCTCACAATGGGACTCACTTAGTCAAACAGTGTGTTGGCTGTTTGTTGTGTTGGATTGTTGTACCTGGGACTCTCACCAATGGCCTCTGCCTGCAGCTGTTGGTAGAGAGGGTGTAGAGCTACGAGGGAGGGAGAACTTTACACCCACACACATACATAAACACTACAGTTCTCCAGTATTATGTAGGTGTGAAGCCCCGTTCTCAAGGTGATACTTGTGAATGACAAATGGAGTTTGAATACAGAAGCTGTTTTCTAAAAATGTTTCTTGTAATAAATGACAAGTATCCAGTGTCTCGCGTTTGTTGTCAATATAGAAAACCTCTGAAGGTTTTTTTTTGGACCCTCGTGTGACTTCAACTCTCCATTCTTCTCTCAGAAGTTGGTGCTATTTTAAGACAGAGACCTATTATATACTATATGCCCTCCAGTGCCCGAAATGGGACAATACTCACCAGTACTGAGTACCTGCACTTCTGATTTTTGCCTGCATGAGTACCCTTACTTCTCATTGAGTACCACCACCTCTGGTGTGCATGTTGAGCTGTTGAGGTCATTTTTTCTAAGGTTTATGCAATAAAAGTTTTGAAATAACTAAATCAGCAAAATAAAATAGCAAATTCAGTGCAATCCCTGTGTGCAGCAATGCTGGTGACATTCTCCTAAAAAACTGTGTCTCTGTGTAAACATGAAGATAGCTTAATGCTAAGCAAACAGCACTGAAATGTCCTTGTTAGAAAGGATAAAAAACAGCAACACTGCTACAATTCAGGCACAGAGGCACTAGTAGAAGAAGACAGTAGCCCAGGAAATAGATTTAAAGTGCAAAAAGATGCAGTTTCTGTAGCTCTTCTTGTGTAGGAAGAATTAATCAGACCCTTAACTTAAAAATACTCCATTACAAGTAAAAGTCATGCATTAAAATGATTAATTGAGTACAAAAGAAAGAAGTTTTATCATCAAATGTACTTAAATGATCAGAAGTAAGATCTGATCTGAAGATATGTTGCAGAATGACCCCCTGTTTTGTAAGCCAAATCCCAAAGGGATCAATAAAGAGAAGTCTAAGTCTATATATTATATATTTTGATTATTATTACTGTTAAATAACATGAAAGCAGGCAGTCTCACTACTGTATGTTCTGTTGGGCAGTTAAATCTCCAACCATTCATTATAGTTTGCACACTGACTGTGAAATCCTAATCAGCAAAGTAACTAGTAACTATACCACACAATCCGTAGTGCAGTATAAGTTATAAACAAGCGTAAAATAGAAATACTGGACAGCTGACAGACCCCGAGTGCAGGGTACTGATGAGGGAAGGATTCAACGAGCGGCTGATTGGACACTTACTCGCACATTTGCATCTGTCTTATCTGGAAATGTGTTCCTGCAGCAGCATTAACATTGACACTAGTTCAAACAGGTCATTAACGCAGACTCGGTGGCAGCTACATTACAGAGCAACCCAGATTGTCACACTGACAGAGGAGACAGTTTACCACCACAAACTTATGACACCACCCTGCGGCTAATTAACATCGCAGGCCGCTCGCAAGAAAAATGTCTCAGAACTTCATTCCGCTGCAGCGTTGTAATGATGGGTTTTCACAGCTATTTATGAGCTTTGTTCTGCCGCAGGAGGAAGTTACTGTGACCATTATATATATCAGGTTATACAGGGGCTGACTAACTCAAAAAAATCCACTGGCAATTTCACAGTTTTAGTATCAACATTTTCACCGTATCACGATTCGTGCAGGGAGATAATCCTTATTCCCCTTCCACCTGTGTGTAACCCAGTATGAGCTCTGTTGTTCACAAAATAAAAGCACAAACACACCCTCTGCTGTAACTCACACAACGATCAAAGTTTGGCCCATAAAAGTAGCATTAATTTAAGTTCATGGTTTCATGGGATAA